CAGTAAAAACTTTTTATTTTTTTTGAAAGTCCGTACTAACTTGTATTACCGTACTGTACTACTTTACTATATACTCAATAAATATGGTATTGATTTTCTGAAAAGCAATTTTATTAATTTACACATAGCGTACACGAGTATTAATTTATAAAACAATTAAGGTTAAGATAAGGTTAGCTTTATAGCTTATGCTAAAATTTTGCAAGGAGTTTTTTTTTTTTAGAAACTCAAAAGCTGTTTTATAGTCAGAATTTGAAATATCAACATATTCGTGTAATACACACAAAGTGTACAATAGAAAGTGCTTTCCGAAAATTTAGTAAGCGTATATTTAAACAAGAAATCCGTATATAAAAAGAACGAAGAATATTTCTCTTTGAAAACTGCATTTATTATTCCAAGTTATGTCGGGTCCTTCAAAAAAAAGAAAGGCGACGAGTCCTCAACCTCAATCTCAACTTTCTTCTCAACCTTGCTGGCCAAATGATGACAGTTTAGAGCATCGTCTTTGTAGTATTCGTATCAAACGATATTTTCCGGAGCATAACAATATGTAAATGATATGCTTTATATTTATTATCATAATTATATTTTTAATTGAATTTATTCTTAATTTCATTTCAAGTGTACCACCTCGGCATGTGCCAATTCCGCCGAGTAAAAAATATGAAATTAAAATTTTTGATATCAATTATCAAAACATGGAATATCCACTTATAATTACTGATGATCATAATAATACGATTGCACAGCTTCAGCAAAGTGATTGTTGTATTTCTTCTCTTTCAATTCTTATTGATAATGGTGGAAGGCATGGAATAGATTTTAAGTATAATACACGCCATAATAGTCACGTAGTAGGCCTTCGACATTATAATTTAAGTTATTTTACGCAGAATTATTGCGTTGGCTATATCGGAATTACATCCACTAGGAGCCTCAAACTTCATGTCGGTAATATAACTAATAACAGTATTATTGATGTTGTTGATTAAAAGATGTATTTATATGATATCAATATAAATCAATGCGTTATGCTAAACTAGTTCGAAATTCACTAATTTACCATATATTCTATACTAGCGAATAAAATCAAATTTAAAGTGTATACAGAATCTTTCGTTATGTTTTATTAACAATTCAAAGAATCATAGATTCTTTAAGCTCGATTCCATCAAAAAAATAGGCTCTCAATGTTTTTTTTAAATCTTTATTTATTAGTGCAAAATAGATAACATATAACTAACCTAGAATGTCATTTTATCGAATATTTGACGGATATATGAGCTATTATAAAAAAAACTTGCACTAAATTTTTATACTTTTTTGTTTGACAAGAATAATAAGATATCCAATAAATTTAACTTTACAGTTATTCACGATAAAGGATTAAGAACAGTATTGCTTTATCAAAAGATTTATTTCTTTAGAGGACTTGGAAAAGACTTTTTAAAGAATCCCTAGAAAAGTTAATGGCTGAAATTTGAATATCAAGAATATTGAAGACTTTGAATTTCAAGAATATTGAAGACTTTGAGTTTCAGGTTTTGATAAATCTTAGAGTTATTTTTTATTTTTCGTTCATTCCTTATTTTTACCATAAGTTTTTAAGCTTTATTCAACTGATCAAATCCTAAAGACTTTGTTGTAATAATGTATCATACAAATAAATCTTTTTATTCGGCATATTCTATTTATCGGATTTTGCAGTTACCAACTGTTATCCGACAAACTCATATGATCATGAAAAACTTTCTTTCTGTTATTTTTTTTCATGTGTTACGATGTAATTATGTTTTTCCAATATTCAAAAAAAAAAAACTCAGCGGGTGACTCCCTACCAATCATAATCATAAATTGTCGGATAACACCATTATTGGCAAATTGTTTTTTTTTGTCGTCTGTTCAATAATGATGTTATCCGATAGTTAATATAACCATGTGAAGTTTTTTTCGCGATATTTTGCAAAACTGATTATGCAAAAAATATCATGGCAAAAAAATTCACATGATCATATGAAATGTCGGATAATGTATACTTACCGGGAAATAACAAACATTGCTAGAAACTCGATTTTTTTATTGATCAAACTAGTGATTATGCCCGCCATGGCATCATATAAAAACGAAGAATAATACCCTTATTTCGCCGCTACGTGGAAATAACCCGGTAGATCTCCACCCTACTGTGGGCCCTTCGGGCCCCCAGATGACCGGGGATGTACCTCTTATTCCCACCGTTGCGGGAAATAAATAGTACTTATATTTACTAATAAGTGAAAATATATACACCGGCAATCAATATTGAATTATCACTCGGAAATCTTCTGACCTAGAAGCATTTGAAAAAGAACGTGAGTCAAATTTATAAAATGAATTTAAATATAAATATGATATGAATATAAGCTATACACGTATATTTCTTCCACCAAGCTGTGTATTGTCTGCCTGTAGCGCATGTTCTGCTATTTCTTTCGTAGCAAACAATAAGAATGCATATTTTCCGATTGAGCTTATAAGGTGGTAGAATAATAAATAATCTTATGTGTTATTTCAAGTTTAATGTAACCAAAAGTTCAAATACCAATCGTTTATCTTGGTTTCAAGTACATTTCCATAAATTTGAAAATGATTTTTTAATTCTTCTCTGGTAATTTCATCATGTAGCTATAATAAAGAATAAGAAAATTATAATTTTTATTAAATAGTGAATAAATTATAGAAAAAAAAGGTGATGTAAATATAATGAATGCAAATTTATATGCTCACATTGCTAACATAGATTGTACGGACATTGCTGAATTTTCTGCGGACCTTTAAAATAATATATGAATAAGACAAACCAACCAATTAGAAATTAATTTATGTAATAAAATGTACCATAAAACTATTTCCCATTCTTCTTCTTCCATCTAAATCCAATGCGTCTTCTACACTTGATTCATCAAAGAATTCAATAAAAGCATGCCTATATGTAATACAAGCGGTAATGTTTATCTTTTATATGTTAAAATTTCATGAAATTACAAAAGGTTAACATACCCTATGTCATTATCGACATTATTGTCGAAAATTTTACAAACAATTTTGATTCCTCTAATATCCCCACATCGTTGAAAATGAATACGCAAAACTTTGGCAGTGATTTTTCGATTAACCTATGAAAAGTGAACTAATTATTATAATAAGCATTAAAATTCTACCTAACAGGAATATCATACACATACTTTGCTAACATAGATAGATCGAGCATTAACATCCTCTGTGAATTTTGTAAGAAAACTCAATATAATTCTCAAATATTTCTTTCAGCTTCCTAATTAACAATAATTAAAATACATGCCTCGTGCAGCATAGCTCATCTTTTCGTCTTTGCTATTTCTTCTAAATTCAGACAATTATCAAATATATTTATTTATATAAGTCAAGATATTCAATTAATCTACAATTCATATACATACGTGTCAGGCTTAAACTAATTTCTTTAATATTTAGAAACAATTGACTAAAAGAAGGTAATAACCGATAATATATTAATTAATTTTCATAAAAGGGTTCTCTACGAAAGCAGAAAAAATTTATACTAAATTTACAAAAATATTTGTCTTTTAGAATTGCCTTGCCGATAAAGCTGCACTAAACCCTCCCATTTTTTGAAGGAATAATGATTACTTGACAATGAATGACGTAAATAGATTGTTTTTTCATTGTTTCCTAAAAGAGGAGGTTACATTTCCTTATCGTTATCATGTTTGGAAATTTTAATTGGTTTGTTTTGTTTTTTTGTACTCCTGTATTATTTTTAGATTCCTCTTAAATGTTTCCGAACAAAGTGAAATACTGTGAACAGCTGACTAACATATTTTCATTGACTAGATTTGTACTCATATCGAATACAAGTGTATTAGTAATGAGCATAAGCCGGAAGTTGCACTCCTCGAAAATGGTGGGAAAAAAAAATAAAGTCTAGTCATAAAAAATAATTTCATTAAATAAAATATTTTTCAGATATACGTACGAGTGGATTTAGGTTTTTAAATCACGTGTACTACTCACATAAAATTTAATATCAAAAGTCATATTACTGGATCTATTATGTGCTGTAGAAATTATTTTCGCATAGCATAATTTTCAAAATATTACTATTTTGAATGTCTTCCAAAATATAGGAGTATTATTCTTGTAATTATACCGTTATCAGCTTGGTTGAGAGAGATGTAGTAGCATTAGGTAATGGTAATTTATTAATTAGGATGATTGGCGTGAGTTCTTTAATTTTACTAATGCGCCACCCATTTTATTAATTATTTTAATTGTATAATGAAACATTGTAAAAAATTCTATTATAGAACTTGTCAACACAATATATGTGATTAAGGCTATATTAGTTAACATTAGAATTATGATTTCTAACACAATTATTCTAACACAATTACTAATAAAACTTTCTGTTGCAAACCAAACCGCAAATTTGATACTCTCAGTGGCTAAGGTTACTGTATAAAATTTTGTTACAAAACTTATTTTATTTTCTGCTTTAAATAATTCTATTGAGAGGTTTTTCGAATTTAATTAATAAAAATTTTTTTTTATTATTACATATGTCGTGCGCAATCGGCCTAAGTTAGATTAGGGTTAGGGTAAAATTACGGTAAAATTACGGTAAATTTAGGAGTTTTATTAGGCCAATTATTGCAGATCATTTAATGTTGGTCAACTGATTACAATCTGACGCAGTTTTAATCTGACGCACACATTAATATAAGTAACCAAATAATCTAAAGATACGTCAATTACATATTTCTCAACATTTAATATAGCAGCTTTCCATCCCAATAAAAAAAAGATTATTTATACTGTATTTTAGAACCTTTTAATATATATCGCGACACTAAATTGAAAAGTTTATTTAGATTATTATTGTTTTTTATCGGTTTACTATTTTAAAAAAATAATAATAATAAATTCCTTACAAAAGAATAAAAAATAAAAGATTACAAATATATAAAATAAAAATAATAAAAAAATTATAATAATAAATTCCTTACAAAAGAATAAAAAATAAAATAAAAATGTTAATAAAATTATGTAATAAGAGCTTGACTACAAGCTATAGTATTGTTACAGTTTGACCTAAAAATTGCGGTCCCAACAATGATTCAAAGGCAATTCGCGAATAGTAACATTAAAGTCTATATCATAATTTTTAGTTGGACAATTAGTTTTACCATCACTACAAATAAATTTAGGATTACTCCCTAATAATGTAAATTTGTAAGATTTGTAGTAGTAAATTCAAAAATGAATACGTCGCTTTCAATACATGGGGTGAGTTAATAGAAATCAAGCAAATTTTTTATAATGCCCCATTTTCTCTTTGCGACACTCATATTATAAATATATTTTTATTCCGCAGATTTAATATTGGGTGAATCTACGAATGTCGGTTACGACAGTTTTTAAAAACTATAAAACTAATTCAAGTGAAATTATGATTGCTTGGAATTGATATGCCATATATTAAATGATATACAGTAAACCTTTTATGGGTGCACTCTTTAGACCAAACTTTAACATTGTGCGCTCAGAGAACAATAAATAAGTGTGCATTCATAGAGGTCATGTATATATTTAGGCTAGAATTTAAATGTACATTTAGAGAGAGGTTTTACTATACATAGAGTCACATAGTATCTCAATTAAAAAGTTGGACTTTTCTCATATTGAATACGTTACAAAAATGTAATCCACAAAGTAATATGCGAATTCCGCATATAAATTTAAAATTCAATTTTTAAACACTGCTCATAGGTATTTGATAATAAGAATTTACGAATTTTATAGTGATTTGCAAAATGATTTTTGTAGATCTATACATTCACCTGATTGTTGTCCAATTGTGGATATTGAATTTTTGACCAAGTAAACCATAGCTGCCGCAACAAATTTGGACCGGCAGATCCTCGATTTTGATTGGCTAACGGCCGAGGATCTTCGAAATTTTGGCCCACATTACAAAATTGGTTACTAATTTCCAGCCGGAATTAACTTTTTAATTTTTTCATTACAAAAATAGAAATTCTTAAAAATTAAGCCCGCATTATGGTAAAATTGACCCAGGAACAATTTTCACTTAATGGGCGGTTATGATGTCATATTAGTAAAATTATGAGTAATTCCGGCCTAATTTTTTGATCGTCGCCCTTAGCCATGGTTAATATATAAAATATTACTGCGGCACTCCTGCGCTGACCATAGTAATACCCATATATACAGCTTAATTGTAAAGTACCCTGAGTATTTTAGTCCACGCTATACGGTAATTGTAAGTCTTTCAAATTGAATCGACAAATTAGGAAACAATATCGATAAACTTAATAGCAATTGAAATTTAAGATTCCGCGAGAAAGGTGATGGATATTTTAAGAACATATGGGACCCCTCAGCAAAAGGAGTGGATGGGCCAAAAAATTTTTTTTTAAAAAAATTCAAGGTCTTGAAGAATCAGATTGATTAGAATAAAATTATCATAAGAACAAATTTTCAAATTTTTTTGCCATCCCCTCCTTTTGCTGTGGGGTCCCATATATGTATTAATAGTTTTCAATTTAGGTTCATTAATTGAAGCTGAAAAAACTACATGTGAGATATCACTTGATAAAGCACAACTTTCTATGACAATTAATTCAACGGCTCTTGACAATAATACATAATAGAAGAATCAAATAATGAAACTAATTAGAAATTATCAATGTAGTGGTTCATTATTTTGTGGTAGTTTTTAGGTTATTTCACAGTGTTTTTTTATATCACGTTTGTAGTAGTATCTTATATTAGTTTTTTATATTTTTTATAATAGTTCTTTATATTGTTTTTATTATTTTTATTGAATTAATTATATAAATTATCTAATATCGATACTACTATAGTATAGGCGTTTGACCGTCCTATTACCTTCTACAGCAAAAGGAATGGTTAAAAAACATTTAATCAAATTTCAAACCAAATCAAAAGATGGTAAAAACATTTTTATACAGTATTTACAAATTTGATTTATAATCTGCTGGGTGGTCATGCTAGGTGAGTTTACTATCATTGATTGGTTGAATTTTTAGTTGTAAAAAAAATTTATCTAACGTTACATCATATTGATATTGTTAGTAGAGGCATTTATTGGAACTCACGGCCTGGCCTGCGGGCAGGACCGAGCCTAACAACTAAATTGAGGGCGGGCAGAAATTTTACAAGTATATAAATTAAATTTAATAAAAAATATATAGTAGATTTTTTATACAAATACAATAAAATATTAAGTGCACACAGTGGTGACCAAATATATGTGCACTTAGATAGGGAGATGCAGACTTATGGCATCACTTAGCTACGCAATTGAGCCATAACTAGTGACATAAATAAGTCTATATCTCTAGTACACTTTAAAGAACCATTTAAAAAATATTGTAAAAAAAGTGTGTATTTATAGAGAATAGTTATATTAAGTTCTTATAGGCGTATAATGTAGAGGTACTGGTGAAATTAGTTTTACCAATTTAACAATAGTTTATCATTGTATATAGTGGTGAAATTATTTTACTATAATTTTATATTGTTTATCATAAAACACACTTATACTGGGTAGATGAAAAGTAGCTAGATAGTGATCTTTTTTTAATCACTATGATAATTATTTTAATGTTTAAATTATTGCAATAAGTTAAAAATTAATATAATTTTAATTTATTGCAATAATTACTACTAAACTTTAAATGATTATCATAGTGTTAAAAAAGGTTACTGTCTGGCTACTTTTTATCTACATGGCATGTGCCGTAGTGCACTGACCAAAATACCCGGGGTACAATACAATCTAACCAAAAAAAACTTAATAAAGTACCCGTGGGTACCTTGATCGGTAGCAGGTACTTTGTGCGAGAGTCTTTTGCTAGTGGTACTTTATGTAGGAGATACTATGCATGACATCTTTTAAGTGATACGAATAACAATATAAAATAAACTTCACTTATCCCATGGGTACTATGTAACAACCCGTGCTTTTTTTTCTAAGTTATTCACACCGGTCTATATGAAAATCATGTG